CAAGGCTATCTGAACCTAAACATGGCTTCCGTCAGTCATAATGAGTTTGGTGTTAAGACTTTTCACTTTGCCAGATACAGAAAAACTGTCACCGCAGAGACTGAGTGCTGGCTTAGAGAATGTTGTTATTTGAGAAAATGTTTGCCTCAGTCATGGAGAATGTTTGTCTCAGTCAGGGAGAATGTTTGTCTCAGTCAGGGAGAATGTTTGCCTCAGTCAGGGAGAATGTTTGCCTCAGTCAGGGAGAATGTTTGTCTCGGTCAGGGAGAATGTTTGCCTCAGTCAGGGAGAATGTTTGCCTCAGTCAAGGAGAATGTTAGCCTCAGTCAAGGAGAAAGTTTGCCTCAGTCAGGGATCAGTTCAGGTTTCAATATACATATAATGTTTGTATTTTAAAATTTTTTTCATTTATGTGTTTGTCTCCTACAGGCCATTTGAGATTCTGGTTGACCCAAAAATGCACGAGGTGACCCACTTTTGTCCGCCCAAGCTGATGCCAGTCTTAAAACATACCACGGGTTACATACATCAGGTATGTCTGTTAAAGTGAAGATAGGTCTGTTGAAGTGAAGATAGGTCTGTTGAAGTCAAGATATGTCTGTTGAAGTCAAGATGTGTCTGTTGAAGTCAAGATGTGATTGTTGAAGCGAAGATGTGTCTGTTGAAGTCAAGATGTGATTGTTGAAGTGAAGATGTGTCTGTTGAAGTCAAGATGTGATTGTTGAAGTGAAGATGTGTCAGTTGAAGTGAAGATATGATTGGTTGAGTGAAGTTTTGTTATGCGGTTGAAGTGAAGATGTAGTGAAGTTATGTCTGTTGAAGTGAAGAGGTGATTGTTGAAGTGAAGATGTGTCAGTTGAAGTGAAGATATGATTGTTGAAGTGAAGTTATGTCTGTTGAAGTGAAGAGGTGATTGTTGAAGCGAAGATGTGTCAGTTTAAGTGAAGATATGATTGTTGAAGTGAAGTTATGTCTGTTGAAGTGAAGATATGATTGTTGAAGTGAAGATGTGTCTGTTGAAGTGAAGATGTGATTGTTGAAGTGAAGATGTGTCTGTTGAAGTGAAGATGTGTCTGTTGAAGTGAAGATGTGTCAGTTGAAGTGAAGATGTGTCAGTTGAAGTGAAGATGTGTCAGTTGAAGTGAAGATATGTCTGTTGAAGTGAAGATGTGTCTGTTGAAGTGAAGATGTTTCAGTTGAAGTGAAGATATGTCAGTTTAAAGATGTGTCTGTTGAAGTGAAGATATGTCAGTTTAAGTGAAGTTATGTCAGTTGAAGTGAAGATATGTCAGTTGAAGTGAAAGATATGTCAGTTGAAGTGAAGATATGTCAGTTGAAGTGAAGATATGTCGGTTGAAGTGAAGTTATGTCGGTTGAAGTGAAGTTATGTCTGTTGAAGTGAAGTTATGTCTGTTAAAGTGAAGATATGTCAGTTAAACTAAATCTTTATCAGTTACGTAATCCTCTGTGCCTGGATCAGTTTCTTATATCTTGATCATGCAATAGCAGATGATTCTGTTTCTCTCATCTGTACAGTAGACAACCATATTGTGAAAGCTTCAATTTTACTTTCATATTAACTATTTATTATCCATGCTTCCCCACCGTACAGTAAATCAGCTTGTATTTGAGAAGCTATTTATAACTGTTGATTGTTATTTTGGTCATGTATGTTTTCTTATTTCTAAATAAAAACACACATACAAAATTATACAAAATTACAGCTGAGAACAAATTACATGAAATGTGAAGTTGTTGTTATCATCAAAAGTAATTTGATGTTTCATGTATAAATAAATAAGCTAAATCTCTTTAATGTCTGCAGGCATTTGAGTTTTATGAAGAACTGATGTCCAGTCGGTACCCGTACTCCTACTATAAACAGGTGTTTGTAGATGAGGCATACGTTGAAGTGGCTACCTACTCAACTATGAGCATCCTCAGGTATGGGAGTTATTGATGTCTGTCAAAATAAGCTTTTGTTAAGTTCGGTTTTGTTTTTCTTTTGAATACAATCATCTTTGACCAGACAGTTCTAGGCCCAGCCACAAATTAAATGTTACATACCCGGGTGAGCATTCATTTTGTATCATCCTCATCTTTAGAATACAAACACAGGAACACACCGTAAGAGAGCAGTGGACAAAACTGGAGTACGTCATGACCCCAGGAAAGTTGAGAGGAAGAAGAGGCAGGTAGAGAATGAGAGAAGTGCTGAACAGTTGGCACGGAGGAATGTTTGTATCAGAAGTTATTCAGAATTGACGAGAGAGAACCCTGTAGACTGGCATGACAACCAGCGCCACATAGTAGGGACTATCAGAAGAAGAACGGTGAGAAAAAAAACAGACAATGGCACAATAAGAATAGATAATAATGAGCATGGCATCCTGGGGATGGGAAGTATTCAACTCATGTTGATAAGTAACATTGGAGACCAGGAGTTATGGACGGACATGATAGCCCATGCCAGCACAATGATGATGATGATGAAGATCATGCATTTACAAGTATCTTCTGGGGGTCTGGTCTGCAGCGACCATGGCTCTCCAGGCTTCCCTGTCAGTTGATATGTAGATTAATCGATGCTGCTTATATTGCTTTTATTGTTCAGCCATTTCAAGTTCTCTTCACAAGCCTTCTGGTTTTTCTCTGCATCTGTTAGTTGTTATTTGCTAAGCTGATATCTTCTTCTTCTCCTGATCATTCACCAGCTGTTAACTCCAGCAGAAAGTTCTGGTTGTTCATCCACATCTTAACTTTGGTCTTGTTCTAGAATTTGGGTTTTGTATGCACATCTGTTTTACAGATCTGACTTATTTGTATGCACATCTGTTTTACAGATCTGACTTATTTGTATGCACATCTGTTTTACAGATCTGACTTATTTGTATGCACATCTGTTTTACAGATCTAACTTATTTGTGTGCACATCTGTTTTACAGATCTGACTTATTTGTATGCAGACTCGGGTAGCTAATGTCCTGATTCTACCTTTTTTTGTTATCTTGTAATTTGTTATTTTCCTCGTGTTGTTATGGGTAATCTGCTACTCACACATATATGTCAAGCTGGTCCCAAGGCAGATACTACCAATGTCTTGTCGAGTGTTGGTTGGGCCTCACATATTCTAGGTCATGACACATGAGCTAGGCTGGCCAGTTCCCTTCCTCATCACCTGTTCCCAGTTCAGTTCCATCACCTGTTCCCAGTTCCCTTCCTCATCGCCTGTTCCCAGTTCCCTTCCTCATTGCCTGTTCCCAGTTCCCTTCCTCATCGCCTGTTCCCAGTTCCCTTCCTCATCGCCTGTTCCCAGTTCCCTTCCTCATCGCCTGTTCCCAGTTCAGTTCCCAGAAAACTTTCTGACGTTATGTGGCACCCTGGGGGGGGGGGGGGGGGGTTGGCTGTGTCAAACCGAAAGCAATATTGGTCAGAAAAATTCAGACCGCTTCTAGAGGTTTAATTGAGGCTACTATCTGGGCAGACAAGTACAAACAGACACACTTAAAAGTATCATATTTTTGTTGACAGTGTGAACTTGTTGCACCCTCCCAACATAATCGACCAGACCATGGCCTCGCGCCAGCTGATGGCCACAGCTGTAGCCCAGCAGTTCTTTGGAAGCTTCATTGCCATGGAGTCCTGGTCCGATGCCTGGCTGACCAAGGGCATTACCGGCTACTTGTCCTACATGTTTTGTAAGAGGACATTCGGCAACAACGAGTACCGCAACTGGGTCATGAGGGTAAGTTTTGTGGTTGGGCTTTCAGAAAACACCTGATGTTGAATTATACTTTCATATGTCACCTTATCTTGAATTATGCTTTCATTTGTCACCTTGTATTGAATTATACTTTCATATTTCACCTGTTATTGAAATATACTTTTATATCAGAAATGGATTAGAAATTAAACCTGCTCAAACCATAATGGAGCACGATAAGTCCTGTTTGTGTGTTATGCAGTTGATATACTCTTCAGCATTTGGAAATCATAGTATAAAGTATAACTGTTTCAAAACGGAAAGCCAGTCAACAGAAAGTTTACATGTCTGTCCTGGGAGCCTCAGTGATACAGCGACATTTGCAGCTGTGAGTTGCTTTGCTGATGCTCTGCCATGGATAGCAGTAGCACTCTTCAAGAGACAGGCTGTTTTCAAATGTGGAAGATGGATCTCAGTTGAAAACCATACACCCAGGATTACCCCACTTATTGGTCGAGTGCGATGTAGATGATCTCTAATGTGAACTATAGACTCTGCCATGGAAGTACTTTCTGCCTCTAAATAGTGATTGCTTTTTTTCTCATCTTATGAGAAGGACTAGACTGAAGAACTTGGTGACAACCGGCCAGATTGATGAAAATAATGGATGGGGGGGGGGGGGGGCAACAGTAGGGATAGTGGGCGAACCATAACCATCCATCTACGTTTATGGGGAAGGATGATGATTCTTGTGTTAGGGCATGTTAATTTTTTTATAATGATAGTTTTTTTTTTTTTTGAGTTAAGTTTTCTTCTCTCATTATCAAGGAATTCATCCAATGAACAATGACTGAAAAGCTTAAAATCGGGAAGCAGAATAATGTGCACAAAACAACACAAAAGGATGTTTATATTATATATTATCATCTTTACTTTTTTTTTTCGAGTATTTTTTTAGCCTTCCTTTATTTTATTTCATTCCTTCCACGTCATCTTTTTATAGTTTCTTGTTGACCCCTTAGTTTTTGGAGTACTCTCCCCCATGTTATGGGCGTAATAGTTCATGTTCTTGTCGAGAAAAGCCCAGCACGTGCACGTTATTTTGCTCCCAGTTTCATTCAGTCATTGTTCATTGAATTCCTTGGTATAAGCTTAACTGTAGTCACCCCTATTGTTGCTACTTTTGGGATTCTCTTGTCATATTGTGTCTATATTGTAATCTTTATGTTGATTTATTGTCTATTCCTGACTGGATTTGTGTTATTTAGATGTGGGTTTTTTAAAATGGTAATTGCAGGATCTACAGGAAGTGAGCGAGTACGAGCAGCAGGTGGGTCTGGTCATCCTGGACCCCAGCAGAAGAGAGAGCAATCATCCCTTCTCCACCCACACTGCCCACACACTGTCGCCCCGATACAATGAGATCTTCAACAAGAAGAGCCGGCTGGTCATGCGGATGTTGGAGATTCGTATCGGAACAGAGCTGCTGCTGCAGGTAACCAGATGTTTGTGGGGATATGGGACATCTAGCTGTGCTGGTTTTGTTGATATGGTTGGGATGTTTTACAAGGATGTTACTAGGCTGGTTTTGTAGATATGGTTGGGATGTTTTACAAGGATGTTACTAGACTGGTTTTGTAGATATGGTTGGACTGTTTTACAAGGATGTAACTAGACTGGTTTTGTGGATATGGTTGGGATGTTTTACAAGGATGTTACTAGGCTGGTTTTGTAGATATGGTTGGACTGTTTTACAAGGATGTAACTAGACTGGTTTTGTGGATATGGTTGGGATGTTTTACAAGGATGTAACTAGGCTGGTTTTGTGGATATGGTTGGGATGTTTTACAAGGATGTAACTAGACTGGTTTTGTGGATATGGTTGGGATGTTTTACAAGGATGTAACTAGGCTGGTTTTGTAGATATAGATGGAATGTTTACATTTAATATGTTGTTTATATGCTACTTAACAGTTTTTCTGACTGTCCACAGGTGCTGAACAAGCTTCTGTCCCTGGCATACAACGCAAGTCAGCAACCGTTTGGCTTCGGCATCTGGTCCAACATGCTCGTATCTACACAATCTGTACGTTATGTGTTCGTGTTTGTTGTTGTTGTTGTTTTCTGTGTAGTATCTTGCCGCCAGTATCAACAGTTATGAGACAGAAGATGGTGATATACCGGACGCATTTTGAGAAGAGATGATCAGAGAATCGCCAGTCAGACACTGATAAATACGATATGGTGAAAGGAGAGGGGGTGTTGAGGAGAGGACATCCAAGAGAAACCCTTAAGCAGCAAGAGAAACCAAAGGTACTAGACTGGATTCCATCCATGATATCGGAGTGATTGCACGGGAATAGAGGAGTAGACTGTCAGTTCTATGTGACGTATAATGGCACAACAGGACATTGAATGGGTGTATATGTTGTCTCTTATGTTGCTTTTTGTATATTATGTTGTCAGTTATGTGGCTTGTGACCCAGACTGTTATTAACAATTATGGATTGAATAAGGTATCCACAAGAGATCCTATTGTGCTGTAGTGTAGAAATGGTTGCCTGATGGGTTATCTCCCATGTGGATTCTGAGGCTCCATTTTGAAGAACAAAGAATGGACCCACTGCCCCCCCTAACAAGCATGTCATAGGAGGCTACTAATTGCAGGTGGGGTGTTTCCTTCAGAGTTGGAGTGTATCTGCCTGAGAGGCAAGAAACCAACAGTCTGCATACAAATAGGTCAAATCTGCTAAACAGATGTGGTCACAAAAATCAAGTTCTGGTACTAGGCCAAAGTCCATTAGAGAACGAACAGGCAGAACTTTGTGCTACAGCTTACAGCAGGTGAGAGATGCTAAGATGACAAAGTTTTCTACACAGTGATATGTCAGCTGGATGTATAATACATGGATTTACCTCTTATCCATGGATTGGTGGGTTACTGGATGTCTGTGAGGCATGTTGAAGATATTTTGTATCATGTATCTACATATGAAGCTTGCCCATTGTTATGCTCTTGTTTTCCTCACCAGTTCCTCAAGATCATCTACACAGTGACAGGCAAGGACATTGAGCCGTTCATCTCCCTGTGGGTGTATCCTTGATCTTTTGTTGAGATGGGCATCAGTGTTTGGTGTTTGTACAGCGTGGGGGGGGGATCTCTTGTTGAGATGGGCATCAGTGTTTGGTGTTTGTACAGCGTGGGGGGGGGGATCTTTTGTTGAGATGGGCATCAGTGTTTGGTGTTTGTACAGTGTGGGGTGGGGGGGGGGATCTCTTGTTGAGATGGGCATCAGTGTTTGGTGTTTGTACAGTGTGGGGTGGGGGGATCTCTTGTTGAGATGGGCATCAGTGTTTGGTGTTTTTATGGGGTGGGGTGTAGGGGATCTTTTGCTAAGATGAGCATCAATGTTTGGTGTTTTTACAGTGTGGGGTGGGGGGATCTCTTGTTGAGATGAGCATCAATGTTTGGTGTTTGTACAGTGTGGGGTGGGGGGATCTCTTGTTGAGATGGGCATCAGTGTTTGGTGTTTGTGTGGGGTGGGGGGGGGGGATCTCTTGTTGAGATGGGCATCAGTGTTTGTATGGGGTGGGGTGGGGGGGATCTCTTGTTGAGATGTGCATCAATGTTTGGTGTTTGTACAGTGTGGGGTGGGGGGATCTCTTGTTGAGATGGGCATAAATGTTTGGTGTTTGTACAGTGTGGGGTGGGGGGATCTCTTGTTGAGATGAGCATCAATGTTTGGTGTTTGTACAGTGTGGGGTGGGGGGGGGGGGGATCTCTTGTTGAGATGGGCATCAATGTTTGGTGTTTGTACAGTGTGGGGTATGGGGGGATCTCTTGCTAAGATGAGCATCAATGTTTGGTGTTTGTACAGGGATGCATCTTATCTGGATAATGACATGTTTGACCTAGTCACATTTGAGACCTAATATTGATCTGAACTTATTTGAGACCTAGTGTTGACTTGTTCATATTTAAGATCACATAATGGCATTTTTTGGAATTGAATCCTAATAATGATGTGTTCAGATTTGACATCTAATAATGATATGGTCAGTTTTTTGACAGATTGTTCATATGTTTAGATTGTATACTTAATGTCAGACTTGGATCTGAGATAGTTTAGCGGGAAATAAGGGGACAGTATTTGCTACTAGCTAGGCAGTAGCTACTGGGTAGGTGGCAGATACTAGGTAGGCAGTAGCCTCAAGGTAGGCAGTAGTTACAAGGTAGGCAGTAGTTACAAGGTAGGCAGTAGTTACAAGGTAGGCAGTAGTTACAAGGTAGGCAGTAGTTACAAGGTAGGCGGTAGTTACAAGGTAGGCGGTAGCTACAAGGTAGGCGGTAGCTACAAGGTAGGCGGTAGCTACAAGGTAGGCGGTAGCTACAAGGTAGGCGGTAGCTACAAGGTAGGCAGTAGTTACTAGGTAGGCAGTAGCTACAAGGTAGGCGGTAGTTACAAGGTAGGCTGTAGCTACAAGGTAGGCAGTAGCTACAAGGTAGGCAGTAGTTACAAGGTAGGCAGTGGCAAATATCTGGTATTGAGGCGAGTTGTACAGGTAGGAAGCAAAGAAGGGGTCTGCATTTGGCCAGTTGCTCAGGTCTAGTGAAGATGGTTCATCTGCTACATTAGAATAGAATATATCAATATAATGCGTAACAGACACAAGATTATCTAAATCTTCCTTGGTGAAATGTACAGTATAACAATTATATCATGTATGGATTATATTTGAAAGGATTATTTTATATGTTTCATTATATTAAGATGTAAACTGTGTAGTATGCCCCTGATAAGACTAAAAGAAATATGCCTGGCAAAATATTGTGCAGTATTGTTTGTGTCTGGGTTATTTAAATTCACTTGAGAGAAACACTGTTTTGAATTGTTTGTATGTTCAGGGCAAATGTAAAAGCTATTTTCTGTAAGCAGTCACAATTGTCAGTGTGTGTGGTTTTGATGGTGAGTGTGTTTAGCAAGATTAGCATTGTTAGTGGCCTTAACCTTCATAGCTATCAGGGAGGATGTGCCAGATTTACAGGAAGTTTTGTGTTTAATCGCAAGCGCAATGTGGTTGAGTTGGATATCAGACAGGACTTGAACGCGCCTGGAGCCCTCAAATTTGTGGTAGGTGATATTGCTTCTCATTAATTGTTTTGGTTTATATCTATACAGCATTGTTATATCATTGATTGTGTCTTTAAAACTTTCTATATTTATGTCTGTCTACATAATTTTTCTGTATGAAGTGAGTAATTTTTCCCTATCTGTCATGGTAGCATGTCTTTCTTTGGCATGTTCATCTGTCTTTCAGACGTTTTTGTCTGTTTACTTTAAAAAAAAAATTATGATAAATTATGATCATGTTTCGAGTCATTATTCACAATTAATGATAGTGATGTTTCAGGGCGAACTTCATGCAGCCATTCAGAACAAAATATTGTTTTTGATGGTTTTTCAAAGTATGTTCTGATCATATTTCAGGGCACATTGAAGGTGACTATTTTGGAATAAAAATAAGTTGTGACAGTATTTCGGGCACACTGAATTGAAATTTTTGACTAAAGATAAGCTATGACAGTGTTTCAGGGCACACGCTGAATGTTACTGTTTTAGGCTAAAGATTAGTTGTGGTAGTGTTTCAATTCATGCTGAATGTGACACTTTTGGACTAAAGATAAGTTGATCTAATTGACACCTTTCCGTCTTTCCAGACAATAGTGAAAAAATAAGTTATGACAGTGTTTCAGAGCACACTGAATTGACATTCTGGACTAAAGATAAGTTCTGACAGTGTTTCAGGGCACACTGAAAGAGACAATTTTGGACTGAAGATAAGTTGAATGTGACAAATTTAGACTAAAGATAAATGTTACCATGTTTCAGGGCACGCTGAATGTGACAATCCAAGAGTTGGATGGGTCTTTTAGTCACCAGTTCAAGATTGAAGAGAACAAGACTAAGTTTGAGATTACCTGTCATTCCAAGAGCCGCAGGTATGTTGTTTCAGTACAGAACCGGTTCCTGCACCTCTCTACAGGTGTGTTGTGCTGGTACAGAACCGGTTCCTGTATCTCTCCACAAGTATGTTATGTCGGTACAGAACCGGTTCCTGCATCTCTCCACATTTCCGACTTTTACTCAGATTTATTTGACCTTCAGATAGAAAAAGGTAATTTAGGGTCGCGGGGGATCTTTTTTAAAGAAGATAATTTTTCGAGGTCCCCATTTCAGCAAATAAAGACACAAACCGTGTCTAAAATCATTTATAAAACCAGTAATTATCACCATTTTGATACCATGGTTTTCAGCTTAGTCTTAGATCTAGGATGTGTTCTTGTCCCAGTTGCTTCGCATGACTAAAGCATCTAGGCATTCATTTTGCTGTCTTCTCATCGAGTTAGCCAGATTTTCAAGTATATTTCTCGTTATAGCATGGGCTGTCTGCATCTAATTAATCTAATTAGTTAAGCGTTCATAAACTTTTAAAAGGACTTCCTTGTTTGTTTTTCTGTCTGATCAAAGCTGATACTAAGTTTGAAATGTAACATGCTCCATATTTGTTTTAGACAATTTGACTGTTTTTTTATGATGAGAAAAATTGAATAGATATATGCTTTCCGGGGACATAGGCCCCTCCATAGCAGGAACGGCAAAATTTGAGATTCTGCTGTTTTCTTTATACAAGTTGAGGGTGTGTGAGTTCCAGATCTCTTGTTCTGTCTGTACTCTTGGCAGTTAAGTAGCTGCTATTGATTGCATTCTGAGTGTTAACCAGATTTGAAATCAGAGACACTAGTGGCTGAATGAATGAGCAAATTTCATTTTCAAAGAGTCACAGTTGGGCATCGCAAGTCCTTCTTACTACCAAATAGTACCAGACAGTGGCCTCAGTTATTTTAGATCACAAGGACACCAGTTAAGGAGGTACCCAAAGATGATATCTAATGTGAATGTTTGTGAAGATCTGACAAACTGTTTGATCTCATTTACGTTACAGAAACAAGAAGAATGTTTGTGAAGATCTGACAAACTGTTTGATCTCATTTACGTTACAGAAACAAGAAGAATGTTTGTGAAGATCTGACAAACTGTTTGATCTCATTTACGTTACAGAAACAAGAAGAATGTTTGTGAAGATCTGACAAACTGTTTGATCTCATTTACGTTACAGAAACAAGAAGAATGTTTGTGAAGATGTGACAAACTGTTTGATCTCATTTACGTTACAGAAACAAGAAGAATGTTTGTGAAGATCTGACAAACTGTTTGATCTCATTTACGTTACAGAAACAAGAAGAATGTTTGTGAAGATGTGACAAACTGTTTGATCTCATTTACGTTACAGAAACAAGAAGAATGTTTGTGAAGATGTGACAAACTGTTTGATCTCATTTACGTTACAGAAACAAGAAGAAGAGGATTCCGCTGATGACGGGCGAGGAAGTTGACATGGATTTGAGTGCCATGGAGTGAGTTCTTTTCTTTCTTTCTTTCTTTCTTTCTTTCTTTCTTTCTTTCTTTCTTTCTTTCTTTCTTTCTTTCTTTCTTTCTTTCTTTCTTTCTTTCTTTCTTTCTTTCTTTCTTTCTTTCTTTCTTTCTTTCTTTCTTTCTTTCTTTCTTTCTTTCTTTCTTTCTTTCTTTCTTTCTTTCTTTCTTTCTTTCTTTCTTTCTTTCTTTCTTCCTTTCTTTCTTTCTTTCTTTCTTTCTTTCTTTCTTGTTCTTTTTCCCCCAGTTCTTATGCTTTGTTTCCATTTATTTAAACAGGCCAGTTGTTTCTTCTTTGTATTCACTGGCTATCAGCACCAGTGGAATATGTAGGTGATTCATCTTCTTCTGGATGTGTTCATGTTAGATGATTTGAGTGTTACATGCACATCTATTTTACAGATCTGGCTTATTTGTGTGCAGACTGTCAGTTCCTGGCCTCTCATGCAGATGTGCTCCGACTTCAAAGGAAACATTGATCCTACCTGTTGGCCAGGCTCCCAACTGTGAACCTGTTTTTAGGGTGACTGGGGACAGATGTGGAAGTCTTGACCCATATAGGCCCTTGTCCACCACTGTGCAGGGTTCTGTACTTACGCATTATAGACTGACCAGTTTGACACGGCAGATGTTGTAGCCATGTTGTGAACAGGCACAGTGCTTTTACATCCTCGGATAAATAAAGAAGAAAATACTATCTCATTGTCTGCTGCCTCATCGTCTCTCAGTGTATGTGAAAGAGAGATACAATTTATTATACATACTATCTCATCATATAACAGTGTGTGTTGGAGAAAGATATACATTTATTGAACATACTGTCTCATTTACTACCTCATCATATGTCAATGTGTGTGTGTATATGTTGGAGAGAGATATAAATTTATTGAACATACTATTTTATCTACTTCCTCATCATATGTCTGTGTGTGTGGGAGAGATATAAATTTATTGAAAATACTGTCTAATTTACTACATCATCATATGTCATTGTGTGTGTGTGTGTGTGTAGGAGAAAGATATAAATTTATTAAAAATACTGTCTCATTTACTACATCATCAGTCAGTGTCTGCTTAGACTATATTGAATGTCCTGTATTCTCAGTCAGCCAGTACGTATGTGCTTGAACTATATTGAATGTCCTGTATTCTCAGTCAGTCAGTACATATGTGCTTGAACTATATTGAATGTCCTGTATTCTCAGTCAGTCAGTACATATGTGCTTGAACTATATTGAATGTCCTGTATTCTCAGTCAGTCAGTACGTATGTGCTTGAACTATGTTGAATGTCCTGTATTCTCAGTCAGTCAGTACGTATGTGCTTGAACTATGTTGAATGTCCTGTATTCTCAGTCAGCCAGTACGTATGTGCTTGAACTATGTTGAATGTCCTGTATTCTCAGTCAGCCAGTACGTATGTGCTTGAACTATGTTGAATGTCCTGTATTCTCAGTCAGCCAGTACGTATGTGCTTGAACTATGTTGAATGTCCTGTATTCTCAGTCAGCCAGTACGTATGTGCTTGAACTATGTTGAATGTCCTGTATTCTCAGTCAGTACATATGTGCTTGAACTATGTTGAATGTCCTGTATTAGTCAGTCAGTACGTATGTGCTTGAACTATGTTGAATGTCCTGTATTCTCAGTCAGCCAGTACGTATGTGCTTGAACTATGTTGAATGTCCTGTATTCTCAGTCAGTCAGTACGTATGTGCTTGAACTATGTTGAATGTCCTGTATTCTCAGTCAGTCAGTACGTATGTGCTTGAACTATGTTGAATGTCCTGTATTCTCAGTCAGTACGTATGTGCTTGAACTATGTTAAATGTCCTGTATTCTCAGTCAGTACATATGTGCTTGAACTATATTGAATGTCCTGTATTCTCAGTCAGTCAGTACGTATGTGCTTGAACTATGTTGAATGTCCTGTATTCTCAGTCAGTCAGTACATATGTGCTTGAACTATGTTAAATGTCCTGTATTCTCAGTCAGTCAGTACATATGTGCTTGAACTATGTTGAATGTCCTGTATTCTCAGTCAGTCAGTACGTATGTGCTTGAACTATGTTGAATGTCCTCTATTCTCAGTCAGTCAGTACGTATGTGCTTGAACTATGTTGAATGTCCTGTATTCTCAGTCAGTACGTATGTGCTTGAACTATGTTGAATGTCCTGTATTCTCAGTCAGTCAGTACGTATGTGCTTGAACTATGTTGAAGATGCTCTCTCTATTTACCTCCCAGTGCTGACTCGCCGGTGCTGTGGTTGAGGCTGGACCCAGACATGCATCTGCTGAGAACCGTCAACTTTGAACAGCCAGACTACATGTGGCAGTACCAGCTCAAGTTTGAGAGATGCATTGTGGCCCAGTTTGAGGTGAGCGCACACTGCCAACCTACCAGACAATTATATTCTTCTACTTCAGCATTGTGAGCCCTTGAGTTTCATTGCAGCAGATATTTCTTTGTTGCTTCTCACTCTCCATTCCCCGCTGTTGTCATCTTTTGATGGGTCCATAGATTCATCATAAGACACTGTTGTCACAAATGTGTAATAAGGCTTCATCTTTTTTAGTTGTACTCCAAGTTTCAGAACCATATGAAACAACTGGTCTTATCAGCGTATTATATATTTTTATCTTGGTGATACAAGACAGGACTTTGATTTTAGTAGTACAAGAAAATGATCGCATTTTGATAATCATAAAAACTTACTTATGTAATGTTTCATTAGCACTTTTTTATTCAGATATGTACATTATTCTCTGGCTCCCATTTTTCTTTTCTACTGCTTGCATGTTTGGTTGTGTCGGTTAACCTTGGTTCATTTGAATAGAAAAAGAGAGGCTAACAGAAGAAATATGTTATTGTCATTGCAGGCTATAGAAGCTCTGGGCAGATTCCCCACGGCAGCGTCCAGACTTGCCCTGACGGACACGATAGAGAACCAGGAGTGTTACTACAGAGTCCGCCAGGATGCCTGTTACTGCCTGGCCAAGGTCAGTGGCCAGATTTTAAACTTTTGGAATGCTTTTCTACTGTTTTGTATTTTTTTTTTTTTTTCAAATCTTTTGAAACTGGTCTCAGTTTAATTTTTCTAGTACCTTAGTCATTTCTCTCTTTCCTATCTAATCTTTTTGATTTGATTTTGCTCCATGAATTGTTATTATTCACACAGGATTGAGTATTCAAATGTAAGGCAGTTATAACCTAAACAGTTTCAGACTTAAAAGTAAACTTTGAACTGAGAACAGATCTTGTCCCTATCAGCAAACATATCAGTAGAACAGTTCTTGTTTTGAGTTCCCAGGTTCATGACCCATTTTTTAAAATATTTCTGCGAGAAAGGGTAAAGTTGGCACATTAAATGGCATTTTGCAGCTAGATTGAGAAATCTGTGCTTTCTGGCCTAACACATCTGATTTAAGGAAGTCCTAAATAAGTCACTTTTTTTTTTTTACAACTTACTCACTTGGACTCCATCTTCATAAACAAAATAAATCATGTTTTGACTCATTCTGTCGGTAACCAAACACTTCATGTTTTGACTCATTCTGTCGGTAACCAAACACTTCATGTTTTGACTCATTCTGTCGGTAACCAAACACTTCATGTTTTGACTCATTCTGTCGGTAACCAAACACTTCATGTTTTGACTCATTCTGTCGGTAACCAAACACTTCTTGTTTTGACTCATTCTGTCGGTAACCAAACACTTCATGTTTTGACTCATTCTCTTGTGACCATTCATCATACCACATATTAAACCTCCTTGCCGTCTTCCATACGTTCCATATAATTAATGGGTTTGCCGTTACAGTGCACGGAAATGTCTTCCTATTGTTACTGACGATGGAGGTCAAGGCAGTAACTAAAGCATTAACCAGGCTAGAGACACAAACCTTCACTCGGCCATGTTTTCTCAGTGATTTAGTCTGATCAGGAAGATAGAGATGGGCTGGGCCAGAAGACATTGGTTGGTTCTTTGAGGTGGTCATAGGTGGCAAAGTTCTGTTTCACTTTCGTGCCAGAGCATACAGGTGTCGGCAATCATGGCCACACTACAAGAAAGGCAAGTTAAAAAGGACGAGGCCAGACAAGAGCACAATCAGTAAGCCAAACAAAAAAAGGATAAACTATCACAGAACTGGAGTCGTCAGCCACTAAACACTGTGGGATTTACTGAGTAGGGGGTCGGAGCACTTATGGACTGATTGGTTTGATGTGTAGTGAGGATTAACTGTTGATTAACTAACTATTGTGACTTTAGACAAATGGTTACCTATTTACCTGTTGATTAACTAACTATTGTGACTTGAGACAAATGGTTACCTATCTACCTGTTGATTAACTAACTATTGTGACTTTAGACAAATGGTTACCTATTTACCTGTTGATTAACTAACTATTGTGACTTGAGACAAATGGTTACCTATTTACCTGTTGATTAACTAACTATTGTGACTTTAGACAAATGGTTACCTATTTACCTGTTGATTAACTAACTATTGTGACTTGAGACAAATGGTTACCTATCTACCTGCTGATTAACTAACTATTGTGACTTTAGACAAATGGTTACCTATTTACCTGTTGATTAACTAACTATTGTGACTTTAGACAAATGGTTACCTATTTACCTGTTGATTAACTAACTATTGTGACTTTAGACAAATGGTTACCTATCTACCTGCTGATTAACTAACTATTGTGACTTTAGACAAATGGTTACCTATCTACCTGTTGATTAACTAACTATTGTGACTTTAGACAAATGGTTACCTATCTACCTGTTGATTAACTAACTATTGTGACTTTAGACAAATGGTTACCTATTTACCTGCTGATGTCCGGTCTGTATGAAGTGACTACCCTGGTTAAACAAATGGTTACCTATCTACCTGTTGATGTCCGGTCTGTATGAAGTGACTACCTGGTTATCTGTTTGATCATGTGTGTGTTAGCTTGATCTGTCTCTTACAGTGTCCTTATGTTCTCCCTGCCAGATTGCAAACATGATGGTGGGCACCTGGACGGGGCCTCCGGCCATGATCACCATCTTCCGCAAGATGTTTGGCTCCCATTCATGTCCTTACATCATCCGACAGAACAATTTCTCCAACTTTCATCATTACTACCTGCTCAAGGTAGGTCACATCACTGCATGCAGCTCTTCATGTGTGACCGCACAAAAGCATATGCCCTGACTGTTTGTTGCAGAATCCCTCCAGCATACATTGTGTATCTAACATACACAAATAAGATGTCATTACATTTATTTGTAGTTATTTTTGTTTCTTCAAATATACTATCAATTCCGTCTGCTTACAAAGGAGGGAACTGCTGATTTTAATTGTTAAAGCTTCGGCCATTCTCAACAGTCTCCTATTTGGAGTGTGATTTTGGTTTCTGTTTGTATTGAGACAGCAACGCACGGTTTCCCAATAGTTTTCTGTGGGGCAGCCTAGCAGTGACGAGCTATTAAAATTAAAAGAAATGGAAAATAAAAACATCAGGTCATGTCCTGCAAAGAGATTTGTTTTACAGAATGTGGGTGCTGCTCGCTTGTGATGGGTCAGTTCTTAGTGATACATGTGTGCTGAGTGCCCAGCACTTTTTCTTCAATGCCAGCGAATGTTATGAAATATAATCAACGATATCTGCTAAACCAAACTATAAATCTCTTCACCCAGTATAGAAGAGGAATGCTAAACCAAACTATAAATCTCTTCACCCATTATAGAAAAGGAATGCCATCACCCAGTATAGAAGAGGAATGCTAAACCAAACTATAAATCTCTTCACCCAGTATAGAAAAGGAATGCTAAACCAAACTATAAATCTCTTCACCCAGTATAGAAGAGGAATGCTAAACCAAACTATAAATCTCTTCACCCAGTTTAGAAGAGGAATTCTAAACCAAACTATAAATCTCTTCACCCAGTATAGAAGAGGAATGCTAAACCAAACTATAAATCTCTTCACCCAGTATAGAAGAGGAATGCTAAACTATAAATCTATTCAACCAGTATAGAAGAGGAATGCTAAACTAAACTATAAATCTCTATACCCAGTGTAGAAGAGGAAAGATGAATGACCTGATGAGTTCTCATTTCTAATGAACTTTCTTGTCTGTAAATGGTATCTGAGACCATCAGGTCTGGTAAATGATTTCTGTGGCTGTTCATATAGTCATTGTTTTACTGTTGCTATTCACAGAAATTGTGTGTGTATAGCTATCGGTTGTTTTTTAGTGATGTGTCTTTTGATTGGTTATGACCTGTGCAAATGCTGTGTGAGTACACATATAACCTTTGACCTGGTGCTGTCTTCTGTAACAGACCATGCCCCAGGCAATGGCTCGTCTGAGGGACATCCACAACCTGTGTCTGCCAGAGATCACCAAGTTCCTGCTGGATCTCTTCAAATACAATGACAACTCCCACAACAAGGTAACACATTCACATCTACAAGGATTGCCTGCTTGTGCTAGTTCATGAGCAGACACCTGTGATGTATTTCATTTTCATGGAGTTGGGGCGGGGGGGGGAGCTACGTCAGATAGTGTTACCAGATATTTTTGTTTTTCCAGGAATCCTCCATTAATATTTTTTTGTTTTTATGTGTGACCCCAATTTTTTTAATTTAGAGTAAGTTTAGTATTTTGATTACATTTATTTTATAGCCTATTGGTAGTGAAAAATGTCATTATAAACTAACAAGGAGTCTGCTCCATTTTTATTTTTTTATTTTACAAAATCTGGCAATCCCCTTGTCAGTGCATGTGTCATTCATCACTCCTTGTATGCCAGTAACAATAGTAATTAGTACACTTTCCATTTGGCCAGGTTGATTTGTGTGCGAAAACCCCTTCTTTATTCTATGATTATATTTTTTTTTATTCCCCCCCCCTCCCCCACCCCCACATGGTGGATCCTTATTGATAGAAAAGTACCAGAAAATGTTATGATTGATATCTTGCTGACCCCATCACTTATTTCAGTTTTAAAATCTGCCCAGATTAGGGCTCAAACTCATTGGCCTGATAGGGAAGCATGCAAACTGCTGCACCACCATTGAGATGGGCTGCAATAATTTGGGCTTGTTTTGTTGGTCATCCATATGAACATATTTCAGTCAGTACAGAGTTGATAAGTTTAAATATTGATAGTTGCCCCTGTTAGTTTTTCACAGATTACATTCTCATCAAACTCCAGCCTGTAGGGTACTCATACCTGTTTCAGTCATCATTCAACTTCATTTTGGACACATTTGTGTTTGAAAAAAGTTTAATGTTGCTAAGATATAATGATTACAAGTTGCTTGGTGGTTTTGTTATATGAGTTGATGTAGAACTCTTGTAGAAATTCTGTTGATTGACTTTGTTTCCTTGTTGTTTAGTGGTCAGACAACTATTTCCGGGCCGCGCTGGTGGAAGCGTTGTCAGCAAGTATCACTCCAGCCGTCACCAACGTGTCACTGATCACTGGGTGAGTTCTGTCAGTTCATAGAGCTGTCAGCAAATTAAATATTTAGACTGATCACTTACCACACACAGCAGATAAGGTCAGATATAGATCAGCACTGGAGTCTAAAACCAATCATCATCTGCACAGATGGCTCCATGAAGCCTTAGTCAAGGTCAGCACGGGATACATAGTACAACGGATGAGGAAAACAGTTGTGGCTTCGGATAATTGTCTTTGTGTGTGTGTATGTGTATACCAATAACCTGTCGGGGTACCAAGGTCCAAGGGTCCTAGTGTAAGGGGGGATAAAGACCAGACACCCCCCCCCCCCTTCCCTGTAAGCATGTCATAAAAATCAACTAATTAGAGTTGTTTCCCTTGAGGTCGGAGTGCATCTCCCTCAGAGGTGAGTAACCAACAGTCTGCACACAAATAAGCCAGATTTGTAAAATAAATATGCATGCAAAGCTTAAGTTCTGTAAGGAGAACTTCTGCCGCAGTTTACAGCTTGTGAACATGAAGAAAAAAACTATATAAACCAGTGGTCTGTGACTCACTTCCTAATAACTTTGTTTGTAGTGACGTTTTAGAATTATATTTCAACTTCAAACTTTGTAATTTTATGTGTTTTTTATTTGTTGTTGATGTGCTGTCATATATGATGTTGGTGGTGTGGTTGTCTTCATCATTTGTTGACGTCTTGTGTGGGATGTTGGTTGTGTTCGTATCTTGTTTTTGATTTCCTTCTGTGGTTGTTTGTTTGTGTTCATGGGAGCCAGACAAGTGGTGACGGCCGACATGCTATCTTGTGTGTGCTGTTGGATGTATTGTTGTTGTTTTGGCACTGATTGTTGTCAGTTCATAGGAGCCAGACAAGTGGTGACGGCCGACATGCTGTCCTGTGTGTGCTGTTGGATGTATTGTTGTTGTACGACACTGATTGTTGTCAGTTCATAGGAGTCAGACAAGTGGTGACGGCCGACATGCTGTCTTGTGTGTGCTGTTGGATGTTTTGTTGTTCTACGACACTGATTGTCTGTGTTTATCGGAGCCAGACAGGTGGTCACGGCCGACATGCTGTCTGCAGACATCAAGCTGGTGGTGGAGGAGGTAGTGCGCTGCCTCAACCTGGAGAAACTGATGCCTTGCTACAAGTACACAGTTACAGTTAGGTATGTCTCCTTGGCTTTTATCTTACATTCTAACATCCTGTTTTTTCCTTTACTTCTTACTTTCCTTTTATCTTTCATCCTGCATTTCTAACTTCTTACTTGCATTCTATCTTACATCTAACCTAGCTTACATCTTACTGAGACTGTCAACAATTCAGGTGTCATCAGTGCCTCTTTTTTTCCTCTTCCTCCTCTCCCTTCACTTTCTCTTCCTTCTCCTGCCTCTCTCTTCCTCCTCCTCCTCCTCCTCCTCCTATGGTCAGCATGTGCCATGAAACAAGTCTCAGGAGCTACAGTAAAGTTTTGAAAATCAATACAGTGTTACCACAACATTGTTTCCTTAATGTAAATAAATTTGAAGATTTAGCAGCATCTGGCAAATTTTGAGGGTAATTACAAGGGAAAGAGTTGGAGATAAATATCTAGATGGCTTAGTCAGCATAACCGAAACAAGAATGCAGACAACGGTGATCATGTGATGTGGTTAGCCATACTCACTTACACGTATTGGCATAAATAAAGTGGGTCAAGGTCTCTTTAGATGGCAGTGGCTCGTCTGACATATAGTGCAGTGGGGGATATGGTCAGCCTTCTTTACCTCCCAGGACATTACCTGCACTTTCGACCTGGCAACCATCAGTTCTAACAAACAAACAAACAAAAAATAACGTCTGAATGCTGATTTTAACTTAACCATTTCACTAGCAAACAATTCACTTTTTGCTAATTGATTACTTTTTATATCGTACACTTTTGTGAACTTTTCTTGTCTAACTCTTCTGTCACATTAACTTATTAAGTGTCACTTGTTATTGTAGTTAGTTTTTCTCCCATAGTTGTTTTGTTTTAACTTACAAAGATTCGCAGATTTCTACCATAATATAAACCAATTTTGGGATTGGAGGTGTAATAGAACAGCTGCCTGTGACTGAAAGAATCAAAACCTTCATGCTGGCAAGCAAATGTTTATCCATCGTGGCCCGTACTTATTTGCATGTCATCTGGTAATCATGAAGTTATTAAAGTTATTTTATGGCTGCTTAATTCATACATTTAGGAAACGTGTCTGAATGTTGTCATTTTTTACATTTATTTTGTGTTGTCAGCTGCCTGTACACAATCAGAACCCTTCAGAAATTAGGTCACCTGCCAAACGAGTCAGATTTTTTCAAAGACTACACTCAACCAGGGATTTTTCGAGATGTGAGGGTTGCTGCCATTACCTGTCTGGTGGACTTCATACGTGGTATGCAATAGTTTCATAACTGTTTCAAGGTTGCAACAGTATCATATGTGTTCGATAGTGTAAAGATTGCAACAGGATCATATTTATTTGATAGTTTAAAGGTTTCAAAATAAAAATTGCACTCTGAACCGAGTTGTGCAATCTATCAAACAAACTCACAACTCCATAGTTCTCGGCTAAGAGCTCAACCACTTTGCCTAACCCGTCACCGACATGGAAGCTCACTTTTAAAATATCTTTAAAAATTTATTTTGAGCGCTACAAAATTGTTTTCCTTTAAAGAAACAGATAAATGAATGGATAACTGTTTGAAGCTACTGTGACCGCAAAAGTTGCAATTTTACAACATTTAGCATCCAAATTTACAATAGCAGGGGGTGTGATTAAAGTGGCCAAGCATAAATCTCCACCGATGACATAACCTGCAGTCGTGGCAGTCAGTGGGTTTGTTTGTAAAAATGTGAATGAAATATTTTATAATTTTCTTTGTCATTGTTGGACTTTGTAAAAAAAAAAAATTTATTAATTTTATTATATCGTCGATCCCAGCTGCGGGCCATGCACCTTGCGTTGGTTTCGACAGTGATATCAAGAAAGCCGACCGTCCAGAAAGCAATGGCAAACTACAGGACGTAAATTTGCCTAGAAAAACCACACAAAAGCCAGGGGCTGTTGGGGTTGGTTCTGCAATGTCCTGTAAAGGATACGCAGCTCCTGTTTATTATAATGATCAATTATAAGATATAGATTACAGCTGATAATCTCTATCTCTATCAGCCCGTATGATTGTAAATAATACACATGTCCAATGTATATCTTAAGTAAAACTTTTTAACACACTACACAAATGTTTAGCACTTTAAATTTTTTTTTAAACTCACCCACTGAACACTTTATAGTCTTGTATTTTCTTTACCAATGAACTCTGTAAATATAATATATTTTCTGTGGTACAGGGGACATAACTGGCGGCCATCTACAGTGGACACTAGATTTCATAGACAAGGAACACGACCCTTATCTCAGGTAGGATTTCATGTCCGTAGTTTGTGTGTCTGTCTTTGTGTGATTGTTTCATGTGTCAGTCTCTGTGTGATTGTTTCATGTGTCAGTCTCTGTGTGATTGTTTCATGTGTCTGTCTCTGCGTGATTGTTTCATGTATCTGTCTCTGTGTGATTGTTTCATTTGTCTGTCTCTGTGTGATTGTTTCATGTGTTTGTCTCTGTGTGATTGTTTCATGTGTCTGTCTCTGTGTGATTGTTTCATGTGTCTGTCTCTGTGTGATTGTTTCATTTGTCTGTCTCTGTGTGATTGTTTCATGTGTCTGTCTCTGGGTGATTGTTTCATATCTCTGTCTCCGTGTGATTGTTTCATGTGTCTGTCTCTGCGTGATTGTTTCATGTATCTTTCTCTGTGTGATTGTTCATGTGTCTGTCTCTGTGTGATTGTTTTATGTGTCTGTCTCTGTGTGATTGTTTCATGTGTCTGTCTCTGTGTGATTGTTTCATGTGTCTGTCTCTGTGTGATTGTTTCATGTGTTTGTCTCTGTGTGATTGTTTCATTTGTCTGTCTCTGTGTGATTGTTTCATGTGTCTGTCTCTGTGTGATTGTTTCATTTGTCTGTCTCTGTGTGATTGTTTCATTTGTCTGTCTCTGTTTGATTGTTTCATGTGTCTGTCTCTGTGTGATTGTTTCATTTGTCTGTCTCTGTGTGATTGTTTCATGTATCTGTCTCTGTGTGATTGTTTCATGTGTCTGTCTCTGTGTGATTGTTTCATGTGTTTGTCTCTGTGTGATTGTTTCATTTGTCTGTCTATGTGTGATTGTTTCATGTGTTTGTCTCTGTGTGATTGTTTCATTTGTCTGTCTCTGTGTGATTGTTTCATGTGTCTGTCTCTGTGTGATTGTTTCATTTGTCTGTCTCTGTGTGATTGTTTCATGTGTCTGTCTCTGTGTGATTGTTTCATTTGTCTGTCTCTGTGTGATTGTTTCATTTGTCTGTCTCTGTGTGATTGTTTCATTTGTCTGTCTCTGTGTGATTGTGTTTGTCTCTGTATCTCTGTCTCTGTGTGATTGTTTCAGTGTCTGTCTCTCTGTGTGATTGTTTCATGTGTCTGTCTCTGTGTGATTGTTTCATGTGTCTGTCTCTGTGTGATTGTTTCATGTGTCTGTCTCTGTGTGATTGTTTCAGTGTCTGTCTCTGTGTGATTGTTTCATGTGTCTGTCTCTGTGTGATTGTTTCATGTGTCTGTCTCTGTGTGATTGTTTCATGTGTCTGTCTCTGTGTGATTGTTTCAGTGTCTGTCTCTGTGTGATTGTTTCATGTGTCTGTCTCTGTGTGATTGTTTCCTGTGTCTGTCTCTGTGTGATTGTTTCATGTGTTTGTCTCTGTGTGATTGTTTCATTTGTCTGTCTCTGTGTGATTGTTTCATTTGTCTGTCTCTGTGTGATTGTTTCATTTGTCTGTCTCTGTGTGATTGTTTCATGTGTCTGTCTCTGTGTGATTGTTTCATATCTCTGTCTCCGTGTGATTGTTTCATGTGTCTGTCTCTGTGTGATTGTTTCATTTGTCTGTCTCTGTGTGATTGTTTCATATCTCTGTCTCTGTGTGATTGTTTCAGTGTCTGTCTCTGTGTGATTGTTTCATGTGGCTGTGTATGACTAGTTATGTGATAATTGTCACTAGTTGAACATCATGTACTCTGCTGAGAGAGAGGGAGAGAGAGAGACACACACACACACATCCAACTACCCCACACACACACACACACACACATGCACGCGCACACACACATAGGCGAAACCTTTCCACCTGGTCTAGGAGGTCAGCCACACACCTGGAGGGTCAACCACACACCTGGAGGGTCAGCCACACACCTGGAGGGTCAGCCACACACCTGGAGGGTCACCCACACACCTGGAGGGTCAGCCACACACCTGGAGGGTCAGCCACACACCTGGAGGGTCAGCCACACACCTGGAGGGTCAGCCACACACCTGGAGGGTCAACCACACACCTGGAGGGTCAGCCACACACCTGGAGGGTCAGCCACACACCTGGAGGGTCAACCACACACCTGGAGGGTCAGCCACACACCTGGAGGGTCAACCACACACCTGGAGGGTCTGCCACACACCTGGAGGATCAGCCACACACCTGGAGGATCAGCCACACACCTGGAGGGTCAGCCACACACCTGGAGGGTCAACCACACACCTGGAGGGTCAGGGGGCCAGAAACCAATGTGTTGGATAAGAGTTTAAAACTCAGCCTTCCCAAAGGTTAAAAAGCTGCACACAGTAATCCAACAAACAAACAGACTAAATTTTCAAAGGGTTCAAATTAGGTATGTAGATCCTTCTGGCCTCACTCCTGTCATACATTATTCCATTCTGGCTACACTCCTGTCATACATTATTCCATTCTGGCCTCACTCCTGTCATACATTATTCCATTCACTAAACTTTTAATATGTCATAGTAAACATCAAAAACATCAAGTCTTAATCACAAATGCTGGAATGTGCTCTCTCTCAGTTAAGTTTACTGTGAAAATGACTAGACAGTTATCACAGTTCATATCTTCTCAGGAGTTGAGAATCTGGTGTCTGACACTGGCCGTCTGATCATGGTGTTCTTCAGACTTCCAGAATTGTATAGCATTTGTATTTTATCATTCTGTTATTTCTCCAGACACCATGCTGTCACATGCTTGACCCAGAATCCACCATTCAGGCCCTCGGAGAGATCACCATTAAACACGCAGTCGCTGGTTGAGAGGCTGTGGGATATGATGTGGTAGGTGCCTCCTGTGTGTGCGTGCATGTGTGTTTTGAGTTCCCCATTTCATCATCTTGTTTATGAAGCAACAAATTGTGCTTTGCTGTCCTTGGGCTGCCTGTAGTGTCGTTCCATCAGATTTATTGTGTTTGGTGATCTTGTGATAAGTGTATATGGCAATTGATTCAGATCTTTATCAGAAAAAAACCATACAGCAGTAGTCGGTACTGTTTATTTCCTAGTAACTTGATCAGATTTAACTGAGCTGCTGTATACCAGAGGTTGGTACTACCTGTTCTCTGTTACACCAAAAATTGAGTGGCTTTTACTAAACATGACATCCCACTTGTAGCAATAGCTTCACCATTTGTGCCAACAACTTCACGACTTGTGCCAGTAGCTTCACCACTTGTGTCAACGGCTTCACCACTTGTGTCAACGGCTTTACCACTTGTGTCAACGGCTTCACCACTTGTGTCAACGGCTTCACCACTTGTGTCAACGGCTTCACCGCTTGTGTCAATGGCTTCACCACTTGTGTCAACAGCTTTACCACTTGTGTCAACGGCTTCACCACTTGTGTCAACAGCTTTACCACTTGTGTCAACGGCTTCACCACTTGTGTTAACAGCTTCACCACTTGTGTTAACGGCTTCACCACTTGTGTTAACGGCTTCACCACTTGTGTCAACGGCTTTACCACTTGTGTCAACGGCTTTACCACTTGTGTCAACGGCTTCACCACTTGTGTCAATGGCTTCACCGCTTGTGTCAATGGCTTCACCGCTTGTGCCAACAACTTCACCACTTGTGCCAACAACTTCACCACTTGTGCCAACAACTTCACCACTTGTGCCAACAACTTCACCACTTGTGTCAACAACTTCACCACTTGTGTCAACAACTTCACCACTTGTGCCAACAGCTTCAGGCAAAGGCGAACATTGAGGAGGATGCTAACCTTATCCTAGAACAAGGAAATGTTTACAGGAATGTTAATGTGGGGCAGACTGTGCCCTTATCCGTGGCTGGAAGCTGGTCTAGGAGGGTAGCTCCAACACTTGGCCAGACAGAGCACTGCTGTTCTGATCCTGCAGCTTCTGCAGCCTGCTTTATTTCAAACATATTGGTGTTACCTTTACTCTGGATTAAACAAAGCAGTAGTCTACGCATGCTCTCTACTGTCGAGGCTTTTTGCTATGGAGAGGAGAAACTTCATTTCTCGTTGTATCCTCACCAAGGGCCATAATTCCTATACCTGCCTATAGCATCATGGAACTCTCTCATGTGAAAGGATGGAAAGGTATCAGTCATACAGATATGTCTAACTGATAGGATGGTTGAGACCTGTTTTCTTATCAGATAGTCGCAGTTCTATCTTCATAGCAGATAAGTATAGTTGATCCTTTCTGCTGTCAGTTAAAACATACAGAATGTCCATTACTGTCCCTTGTGGGAAAATTGAAACAGGCTGCAGTCTTAGCAAAGTCAGTAGCACACATATTGAATGTATGAGACAGCAATCAGAAGTGCCAACAGCCTAACACTAGATATGCACACAAGCCATGTTCGGCACACTTGAAAAAACATTTCAAATGAAATCTACTGCTCACAGTGAGGTGCCATGCACTAAGCTCATAGTTGGGCAATTTATGTAGGTGTCTTATAAAAGTTGAGACATGTTTTATGTAAGGATAGGGTGGGAGCTGAGACATGTCTTATGTGAGGGTAGGATGGTAGCTGAGACATGTCTTATGTGAGGTTAGGGTGGGAGCTGAGACATGTCTCATGTGAGGGTAAGGTGGGAGCTGAGACATGTCTCATGTGAGGGTAAGGTGGGAGCTGAGACATGTCTCATGTGAGGGTAAGGTGGGAGCTGAGACATGTCTCATGTGAGGGTAAGGTGGGAGCTGAGACATGTCTCATGTGAGGGTAAGGTGGGAGCTGAGACATGTCTCATGTGAGGGTTGCTTGTTGACAGACTGCCTGCGGAGGGTTACAGTTGTGAACTTATTATGTGTCCTCAACCAGTAGCCAGAGAAAACATTTCTGTTGGTGGGATAACATGAAGGGATGGGCAGAAAGAGAAAACATTTCTGTTGGCGGGATAACATGAAGGGATGGGCAGAAAGAGAAAACATTTCTGTTGGTGGGATAACATGAAGGGATGGGCAGAAAGAGAAAACATTTCTGTTGGCGGGATAACATGAAGGGATGGGCAGAAAGAGAAAACATTTCTGTTGGTGGGATAACATGAAGGGATGGGCAGAAAGAGAAAACATTTATGTTGGCGGGATAACATGAAGGGATGGGCAGAAAGAGAAAACATTTCTGTTGGCGGGATAACATGAAGGGATGGGCAGAAAGAGAAAACATTTCTGTTGGCGGGATAACATGAAGGGATGGGCAGAAAGAGAAAACATTTCTGTTGGCGGGATAACATGAAGGGATGGGCAGAAAGAGAAAACATTTCTGTTGGCGGGATAACATGAAGGGATGGGCAGAAAGAGAAAACATTTCTGTTGGCGGGATAACATGAAGGGATGGGCAGAAAGAGAAAACATTTCTGTTGGTGGGATAACATGAAGGGATGGGCAGAAAGAGAAAACATTTCTGTTGGCGGGATAACATGAAGGGATGGGCAGAAAGAGAAAACATTTCTGTTGGCGGGATAACATGAAGGGATGGGCAGAAAGAGAAAACATTTCTGTTGGCGGGATAACATGAAGGGATGGGCAGAAAGAGAAAACATTTCTGTTGGTGGGATAACATGAAGGGATGGGCAGAAAGAGAAAACATTTCTGTTGGCGGGATAACATGAAGGGATGGGCAGAAAGAGAAAACATTTCTGTTGGCGGGATAACATGAAGGGATGGGCAGAAAGAGAAAACATTTCTGTTGGCGGGATAACATGAAGGGATGGGCAGAAAGAGAAAACATTTCTGTTGGCGGGATAACATGAAGGGATGGGCAGAAAGAGAAAACATTTCTGTTGGCGGGATAACATGAAGGGATGGGCAGAAAGAGAAAACATTTCTGTTGGCGGGATAACATGAAGGGATGGGCAGAAAGAGAAAACATTTCTGTTGGCGGGATAACATGAAGGGATGGGCAGAAAGAGAAAACATTTCTGTTGGTGGGATAACATGAAGGGATGGGCAGAAAGAGAAAACATTTCTGTTGGTGGGATAACATGAAGGGATGGGCAGAAAGAGAAAAACATTTCTGTTGGCGGGATAACATGAAGGGATGGGCAGAAAGAGAAAACATTTCTGTTGGCGGGATAACATGAAGGGATGGGCAGAAAGAGAAAACATTTCTGTTGGTGGGATAACATGAAGGGATGGGCAGAAAGAGAAAACATTTCTGTTGGCGGGATAACATGAAGGGATGGGCAGAAAGAGAAAACATTTCTGTTGGCGGGATAACATGAAGGGATGGGCAGAAAGAGAAAACATTTCTGTTGGCGGGATAACATGAAGGGATGGGCAGAAAGAGAAAACATTTCTGTTGGCGGGATAACATGAAGGGATGGGCAGAAAGAGAAAACATTTCTGTTGGCGGGATAACATGAAGGGATGGGCAGAAAGAGAAAACATTTCTGTTGGCGGGATAACATGAAGGGATGGGCAGAAAGAGAAAACATTTCTGTTGGTGGGATAAACATGAAGGGATGGGCAGAAAGAGAAAAACATTTCTGTTGGTGGGATAACATGAAGGGATGGGCAGAAAGAGAAAACATTTCTGTTGGCGGGATAACATGAAGGGATGGGCAGAAAGAGAAAACATTTCTGTTGGCGGGATAACATGAAGGGATGGGCAGAAAGAGAAAACTTTCTGTTGGTGGGATAACATGAAGGGATGGGCAGAAAGAGAAAACATTTCTGTTGGCGGGATAACATGAAGGGATGGCAGAAAGAGAAAACATTTCTGTTGGCTGGATAACATGAAGGGATGGGCAGAAAGAGAAAACATTTCTGTTGGCGGGATAACATGAAGGGATGGGCAGAAAGAGAAAACATTTCTGTTGGCGGGATAACATGAAGGGATGGGCAGAAAGGGAAATCACTGAGCAGCATCATGTGCCAGCACACAAGATCTGCTGGACACATGAGCAGTCATCCCTCACCACAAAGATGGCACCTTATCTCAGCTGTGATGATAGTTAGTGTAGATGGCAGATAAGCAGATCTAGCACCTTATCTCAGCTGTGATGATAGTTAGTGTAGATGGCAGAAAAGCAGATCTAGCACCTTATCTCAGCTGTGATGATAGTTAGTGTAGATGGCAGATAAGCAGATCTAGCACCTCATCTCAGCTGTGATGATAGTTAGTGTAGAAGGCAAATAAGCAGATCTAGCACCTTATCTCAGCTGTGATGATAGTTAGTGTAGATGGCAAATAAGCAGATCTAGCACCTTATCTCAGCTGTGATGATAGTTAGTGTAGATGGCAGAAAAGCAGATCTAGCACCTTATCTCAGCTGTGATGATAGTTAGTGTAGATGGCAGATAAGCAGATCTAGCACCTCATCTCAGCTGTGATGATAGTTAGTGTAGAAGGCAAATAAGCAGATCTAGCACACACTTTTTCTCCTTGTCAGCCACACATCCTACGACTGCCGCCTGCGCTGTGGCCTGGCTGATCTCTATTTCACCTTGTATGGACGACAGAGACCAACATGTCTGCCCGCACCAGAGGTAGGATCTCATCATTTCTCCCCAGCTCTTCCTGTTAGTTTTCGTCATCATAACATTGTTTCCTGTTTGTGTTGTTTCATTCATCTGTGTCTGTTGTTTAGGGATTATGAATACAGTTTCATAATTCTGACATGCCAAGGTTTCAAGTCAGCTATATATGAATTGACAGTGGTAAACTACTGAAAATGACGTGACCTAGTAAAGAGTTATGATGATGTTCCAAGGGGCTGCCTGGTCTCGAGGCTTGTTGTCCGCCTCGAGTACTAGAGGTTCCGGGCTCAATCCCCAGTAGGGGCTGGGATTTTTCATGTGGACTTG